TTGTGTTTATATAGAGTTTTTTCTTTTTGTTAAAGCAACAGATTGGATTTTTATGCACTTCAATTTGTTGTTTCCCGATTTCTTATTTTAAAATTTATTTTTTTTTTTTGTTCGATTCTTATTATATAACAACATCTATAATTTTAAATAGAAAGTTCTATATCCTTGTATTGTAAAGTATATTTTCGGTAGTTTATAGTGTTTTGAAAACTGAGTATATACAATATTATATATAAAAATAAGAAATACAATATCTGATCTAATTTTTTGTTCTATTTTACATTACAACATTGCATTACGTAAGTTATATGCAATTTATAAATATAATTGTGTACATTTTATACATACATGAACTTTATTATAATTTTTGTATAGTTGTGGGATCAATAATTCTATATATGTATATATAAAAAGAAAAAATTTAATAACAAAAATATTGAATTCTTGTATAGCTTGGTATTCGTTTTCTTCCCAGCCTTTTTTCATTATATGAAGAAATGCTTCTCTTTTCTATAAATACACAGACAAAAAAATTATATATGTAGGTGCAATCCGATATACATATGTACATACTATATATTTGTTAAGGACAACATAATATTATTTTCTTTATTAGAGAATTATATGAGATTTTACAAGATAGGAAAAAGAAAATCTAATAAAAAAAAGATGTAATATAGTGCAGCAGTTTTCTTCTTAGTGCAATATTTTTCTCTATTATTGAACACAACATTCTATATATATTAAATTATTAAACCTTTTAATATTATCAATTGAAATCTCTCGGTAATAGGGTAAGTTTACTAATTTGCTTCTTTAATATTATAAACATTTTTATTATGTTGGTATAGGTTGTTTTTTTTAAGTTTCTGTGCTATTAAATTATGGAAAAAAGAGGGTTTTTTTTTTCAAAGTTTAACAACAATTTAAATCAGATTTATAAAAAAACTTAATGGTTAAGGGTTATTTTAGCCGTAATGCAAAACAGTATTTCAAATTCATAATGTTCTTAGCAATTTTCTGATTTATAGAAATTTTTTTAATCGCTAAATTCCTGTTTGAGCACACTCACGCTTCTTTGATCGTCGGTTTCAATAATAATTTAAAGGTTTTACATTCTATTTTTTATTATAAAAATAAAACCATTATTTTATTTGAACCCAGCTGAACCAACGTAATTTTTGTATTTCGAGCGTTTGTACATTAATTTTGTAAGATTCGAGCGGCTAACTTTTAATTTTAACAAAAAGTTCATATTATATATAGTAAGCTATTTAATCATAATCAATTTTTTAATTATTTTTTAAATTTTCAGTAAACGAAAGTAGCAGAATAGTTGTTGATTTTAGCCAAATTATTAGTTTTTATTTTTACCGACCGTATTGTGTAAACAATAGGTAGGTTATGTGATGGCAACAAATTTTGCATATCGAGTTTTCGATGGAAACGTACTTCTCCATAGTAGGGAAGTGTAAATAAACTATTTTTAGCAACCTGTCGGTCTGTGTGTGCACGCGTGTATCTCAAGTTCGGCTGAACCGATTTTAATGAAATTTTATATGTAAGTTTATTTCCACCATGGCACGGATTGATCAGGCCTCGGGAACTTTTGGTATAAATCAGGCCTCGGGAACTGCACTTTTTAGCGGGCCTGTTTTACATTTTTGAACATTTTGAAAAAAAATATTCAACCGATTTACTTGAAATTTTATATATATGTTTTGGAAGAAATCAGGCATCGGCAACTAGACGTTTACTACCGGTCAAATATACATTTTTGTGTATATAAAGAGAAATAATCAACCCATTTCATTTAAATTTAGTATTTGAATTCCTCGTATTAAAACAATAAGATAGATAGTCGTATAATAAACATATGTCACATTCCATTAAGTTATAATTTGTTCTTCACGAGTATCTGAAATATAAAAGAAGAATTTGTAGTGCGATAGCCGAATAAGTAAATTTTTCAAATATATAATTAAAAATTTCTGTTCCTCACGATAAAAAAAAATTGGTTTCCCTATAAAATTTGTTTTCCAGCCTTTTAAAACTTATGTAGAAAAATATTTATAATATGTTGAATTAACAAAATTTTTCAAAAATTTGCAATAAATTTTTTAAATTTAAAAAAAAAATTATGAAATTTCCCAGAACAGACAAAAAAATATTGATAATCGGATAAAATATCCTTTGACATACAAATTAAAAAATTAATAATATAATGAATAAAACCAAACCGTAAAATTTTATAATTAACAAGAGCTTAAAAGTGTTTAAGTTACTGAGGAGATAAAGTCGTTTATTTGCCAATTAATTTAATTTGATTCCTTTTGAGAGAGGCTTTTGAATATTTAACAAATTACATTTGTAAATTTATTAATTCTTAAAATTTATATTTGCAAATAAATAAATAAGAAAGTATATTAATAAGTAAATAATTTAAGAAAAATAAACTTTGTTAACGACTCGTGAGCCTTTGCTTTCTTGAATTTGTGTAGTTGCATATAATGACGCCATAATACTTGGTATTGCTTGCTTATGTAATGTATTGCATACTTTAACAGAAATGTATATTGTAAATTTTAAGATAATTTTAAACTCGAAACATTATGCAACATTGATCAACTTTCAATACTTGTGAGTATGAATATTTCCGGGTCTTTGTTTAGAATCATTTTAACAATTTTTGATATTTAAATTGCATTTTTGCAAGCTTTGCTTGAATAACGAAGTAATAGACCTCTTAAGAAAATTTTTAAGTGAAGTTTCAAATTATAGGTCAGACATATCCGTGTGAAGTTTTTTGGGAAATGTCTGACAGATTCGAGTAACTGACATAAAACCATGATAGTATAATTCTAACTATTTCAAAAACAAATGTTTCTATACTCGGATTGACAAGGAGCATGGTATATATAATTCAGTTGGTTTAAATCGACTGAAACGTTTTTACTTGTTTCATATATAGACTTAGTTGCAAATTTATATATGTCGATGCAAGTACTTGCATAGTTCATCTAGAATACTATACGCTTTCCGTATTAATCATGCTCTTATTTTAAAATGTCGGTAGTAAAGATTATTTTTTTTTGAGCATTCTTTTATCTAAAGATCTTAAGAAGACAAAAGAAAAAAATTTAGAAAAATTAAAAAAAGAAAATGAAAAAAATATTTTGTTCATAATTATTTTATTTTTCTGCTTAAGTATTTAGAAAAAAAATTAAAAGAACAAAAAAAGGATGACAACTTAAAAAATAAAAATTTGGACAAATTTTTCGTTTTAAAGATAATAATGAAAAAAATTTGAAACGAGCAAAATGTACACCTAACTCATTTGCGGAAATTTCTCGATTTTTACAAAAAATGCGTGAGAGGGAAATTTAGTTTTGCATGCAATCTACATGTTTTGAAAACACCAACGTTCTGTTACAAAAATTCTACATTGAAACTGATTTCAATATTTTCGAATGTCCAGAAATTCAGGAATAATATTTTATAACTGTGCTATGTCAGAAAATTTTAAATAAAATAGATTTACATTGGGTTAAAACTTAAAACTTTGACTTTAAAATTAATAATCTGTCATGCCGAACAAAAATGTATTGGAAAATTCATTTACTTTTTACTTCAAACGGGAAAGACAAATTAAGCTGCTCTTCAAGAAGCAAAAAAGAAACAAAAAAAAAGGACGCTCGTTTTTAAGAGATTCTATTTTAAGTGTAATTGCATACATTAGTGAATGCATCAATTATCAAAATAAAAATGAAAAGAAAGCAATAAAGGATTTTTGCTATGAAAAGAATTGTGCTTTAAATATGGGATGACTTAAGTGCTTTTAGAAGAACTAGATTTTAATGAAGTTAAAATTATTGTGAAGCGTTCTACGGGTATGTGAACTTCATGTTGGTATGATTTTTAGAATTTTATTTTAAGAGTCCTTTAAAAAATTTTCTTTTTTAGTTTTTATATTTTTATGTTATTTTTAAAAATAAAGTTGCTTATCTCATTAAAATTTTTTTATATTTTTTTTGTTTTTTAGCTTTGTAAAGCATTTTGTTAAAATTAAAAACATTTTGTTTAGAGTCTTATGTCTTTTAACATTATGAAAATCTTAAGTAAGTTAAAATAAAATAACAATTTTTGATTTGCTCTTTATGTGTGTTGTTTTATGTATTAAGCCTGAGTTTGTAACATTTAGTTGAAGTACATGAATATGAATTTTATAAAATGTTGTTTTTTACAAATAAAGCTCAAACGAAATTGTTAACTCTAACGCTTAATATTTTATAATACTTTGATAGCTGCATATATGATTTCAAAATTATTGTGATATTTGCAATTTTAATGTGATAATCAATGCTAGTATTTTCAACATTAATCCAAATAAACAAGGAAAATAAAATGATCTATGAGACCTAAATTGGCACAATGTATTGCTGGTCAACCAAAAACAGATCCAAAACTTTAACAAGCATTCTTTATTATTGCTTGGTAAATATTAGTGCTTGAACAATGTGGATATCATATAAGAATGTGGTAACATTGTTCAAGCACTAAATTTTCCAATGTCAATAAATAGAACCTCGTGCGAGGTGTGAATGAAAAATTATACAAAACAAAAAAGTTACTTGTTATTTTTATATTTCAGAACACACTGACTGATTGTAATTTTAAGTTTTTTTTTTTTGCAATTACCTTAATATATTAATTAAAATAATTACCTTAATATACTAATTGAATACTACCTCAATATTAATTAAATATAATTGTCAACTTTAAAAATTAAAAAAAAAATCGGTACAAATTTTCTGTATTCTGGCAACTATAACAAATCGTCAAATAGAGAGAAAAACTGTTCGTGAAAATCTGTAATTTTACTTTGAATATTATTTGATATTTACAAAATTTGCTATATATTATAATATATCCTGTATATTATTATTATAAAATACATTAGTAATAAATTATATAATATACTTTCATTTTTATACTTTTAGGATTGGTCTTTACGTAGTGAAGAACAAGGATTACTAATAGAACGTATACTAGTGTTAGTTCGTAATGTATTACAAATTCCAGCAAATCCAGAAATTGAATGTCGTGCTGATAATGATGCAAGTCTACATGATCAAGTTATATGGGCATTACATCAGTCCGGATTACTTGATCTTATATTATATGTATTAAGTTCACCAGATGAAAATCAATATCATTTACATGCATTAGAAATTCTATGTTTACTCTATAGAGAACAGGTAAAGAATATACATATTTAGGTAGAATATAAATATGATATAAATGTAATTATTAATTTCACTGTGAATTTACAAATAAATTTGTATATAATGTAAATTTTCACATAATAATAGGATGTTTAGGTATATAGGTATTATCAAACAGAAAATATATCAATTTTTTCGATATTGTACATGTAAATGGAGTAAAATATTCACCATAATCAAAAAAATTTAAATATGTAATTATGTCAAGAAGGAAATAAAGAAAGTGATTCAAATGAAAAAAAAAAAAGAAAATATATACATATAATATCAAATAAGACGATGTCAATATTTGTAAATAAGTAGATATAAGTGTAAAAATGTATGTTTTCATTTTTATTATGTAATATCCTTTTTATCATTTAAATGAAAGAAATTGAATTACTTATATAATAATAAAAAGGAAAGTTAAATACATTTTTTTGTGCCATTGTATATAATTTTTAACCTTGATATTTGTACGTGATTTTTTTGTATTAATGATATTATTATTACGTCTCTTCTTTTTTGTGTAAAAGTAAACTCAAATTTCGATTTTACATATTCAAAATATATTTTTGGTTTCTAAGAAATTCAATCACATTTACTTAAAAAGTATAATGAATTCGAAGAATTTTTTCTCTCGCAGCTTTTATTTTAAGTCACAAACTCTTATAAGTCCATGATTTTATTTCTATTTACTGTTTTGTTACTTTTCATTTAATTATTACCAAGGATACATATTTTGTTGTATATATTTTTAATAAATATTAAGATTAGAATCTTATATGTATAATTTTTATGAAACATGTACAATTTTTGAAATATTTTAGTAACATAATTTGCATTTTCAACTGATTTATATACTCTATTTTATGTATGTGTAAAAACAAAAAAAAAAATTCAATTTTTTTTTTATTTTATTAGAATTTTAATTAAAATTTATTTTATAAAAAGAATATTAAAATTTTTAGATCGAACTCGAGAGATTATTTTATTGAAAATTGTTTAGTGAACAATGTATTTGAAATTATTCAAGTAAATTTAGGTTAAATGAGATTAGAATATCGTTTTTTTTGTTATAAAGCTTTTAATACAAGATAGTAGGAATAGGTCTAAATGAAAGTATATAATCATACATTAAAATATTAAAATATTATAGCTTTTGAACGATATAGAAATGTTCATACTTATTCATAATGTATAATTTTCTAGGTTGAATATGTAAATAAAATTAGTATTTTATTATATTAAAATATTGCATTGTAAGGCTGTCAGATTCAACATACACAAAAGTTCTCTTTACAATGAAAATTGGCTTAAAAATTTTGGACTATAGAGGTTGAATTGAAATAGTTTAAAAAACAACGATTTTTGATACTATTAATTACTGACGTCATAAAAGCTACTTCCTTTTTTTAATTGTTTGAAATTCGAAGGTTCAAATTGTTAAAATATTGTTCAAAAATTTCTTAAAATATAATCCTTAATTGCATCTCGTAATATTTTGTTTCAAAATAGTAATAAAAATTGAATCGCTTAAAATGCTTGATCAAAGTCCAGAATTTTTTTATGACTCTATATATAAAAAAAACAATATATTTGCATTAATGCTGTTAAAACTATGATAAAATTGAAGTTTGAAGCAAATTCTTAAAAATTATTAATTGCCATGATAAAATGATAAAAATCAATTATAAATGTCTTAAAGTTAAAAAAAATTATAAATATTTCTAATATTAAAATTGAAATACAGGAATCCCTCGATATACGTCGGCCCTATATACGTCGTTTTGATATACGTCGGTGAGATTTTTGTTCCGCGTTCTTAATATACGTTGTTTCAGATTTGATATACGTCGTTGAGAAATTTTTTTTCATAAATTTTGATACATTTTTGCTTAAAATAAAAAATTTTGGTACAATTTTTCTTGAAATAATAAATTTTTAGTACATTTGCACAAAAATAAACAATTTTGGTACATTAATACAATTTTTTTGAATGAGAACTAAATTGAATTACCTGTTCATATTTACACATACAATGTCTATTATAGCTTATGGTTTAGTGTTAATTTTTTTTGTGATAAAAAGTACAAATTTTGTTTAAAATTTTATGCATAATGATGAATTTTGGAATTTTGCATAATATATGTACAAAGTACATAGATATATATTTATATTTTTTTTTGTTAATTTCGTTTTGTTTATGCTTTAGTTTTATGTTTTGTTGCATTTGTTACTATGTTGTATGTATCTAAATAAAAACATACATGTTTACATTTTGCGAACTTAAAGACTTATTATTACATAAAAACGAACATATTATATGTATAATTAATTACGAAGGTATGATGTATTAGATGTACGAATTTTTAAATAAATATGCAAACGTACAACTATGTATTTATCAGTATTTTTCTAGTAAAAAAACATACTTTTTCTATATGGGTTTTCGATATACGTTGTTTTGATATACGTCGTGTTTGGCCGGAACCAAAAACGACGTATATCGAGGGATTCCTGTATATCAATAAAATCCTTAAAGTTTTCGTAATTTAAAACTTGTTGCAAATTTAGGTAATACATATTTACTTTTGTAATATTGGCCTAAAATTTCATTTTCTTTTATAAAATTGATTGAAATATATGTATCAGAACAACTTGTTTATGTTCTCGTATATGAAAAAGATAATCCAAAAAAGCTATTAAATCTATAATTATTACCAGTTTAGAATTTGTATATAACATTTTCTATGTGAAAATAAATGAATTAGGTCAAATATTTCCATAACAAAAATACTTGCATGTAAATTGTGCATATTTATATTAGAGCATCATACGAACTGATGAAAGTTTAAAAATATTTATTCTGAATAAATATTTCGTTCATGTATATGTATAAGTAAGAGAGTAATTTCTCTTTGGATACGGTTTTCAGAATCTAACAGCTTGTAAATATTGACTTTAAATTCTGTTTCACATTCTTTTAGTCACATTTACGAAGAATCTTTTCAATTTGAATAGGTAGTTGCAACTCTTGTGACTATCATTTTATTATGAATTAAAATTACTATTTTGAAACAATAAATTTTTAATTTCTCATATTCCTGATATTGAGTGGAACAAAATATGAAATAAATTTTATAAAGCTATTGAAATTTTTAAATGCTCTTAAAAATTAAGTAATACTTTTCAAATAGTAATTTTTTTAGTAATCTTTTATTCTCTGAAAATTATTACAAGTTGCAGAGAATAAAGGATTAAGAGAATTATAAAATTTTTTGAGGGGGTTTTTCATATTACTACACTTTACAATAGTCCAAACTAAATAGAATTTTTCTCGAATGTTAATTCTAATAGAAAGATCTAAGATTTTAATAATTATCGTTGCATCTAGATTTAGTGTCTAGTCTTTTGCTACTTGTTTAAATAACTATTCCTATACTTATTTATTGATTGTTTTATAATTATGTACCTTTATGTACTTAAAATAAGTTAGTTCAAGGAAATATTATTATATAGGATTTTGATAAAATTCAAATTGCTTTTATGTCTATATGGATATTTTTAGGTTCAACACTTACGACTCAACACTTATTTCTACTACAAATTCATTAATTTTCAAGAGAATTTTTATCATAAACTAAATTAATAATGATTAAAATTTTTTATTTAGATTAGATATTCAGCGATAATTAAAATAAATAAATTTTTTATTTTTATCATGAATTTTATAAATCAAGGATATGATTTTCCATGGAAAAATTTCTATATTGTAAATTTGATTTTTAATCCAGAAAATTAATCAATAAAAAAGATTTTTATTGAACCCTTAAATAACTCATAAATTGTGAATTTCTTTAATTTATTTTTTTGTTGAAATTTTGCATTTGAATTATAATTTTTTTAATGCATTCTAACAATTTTTTATATTAAAACTCATTCGAATGGAAAAAATTCTTTTCTTTCAATAGGAAGTCCAACTGAGAGGCAAATACTTAGGGAAATTGAAAATGGAAGAAAATGATGCTTTTTTATCATATATATTTTTTTTTATTTTTGAAGACAAAAACTAATAGAAAAACTATATTTCAAAATCTTTCGTACATGTATTTTCTTTAATAAAAGTATTTGTGTATATGTTTATTGTATTTTTGGAGGATAAGAAAATTGTTTGGCATATTAAAAATTTATTGTTATACAACCATGTAGAAAACATAATACTTAACATTTGTTTTCATCACAAAATATATGCTTTTTCCTTTATCCTTTTTTTCGAAACTGTCAAATATGTAACTTTAACATAACAAATTCCTTTATACGCTAGTAACACACTTTCTCAATTTGAATCAAGCATTATACAAATTGAAAAATGGTTTCGAAGCCTTTGTCGTAACACAAAACTGTAATATTTCTTGTTCATGTTGTTTCACAAAAATAACTATTAAAAATAGTTCGGTTCCTCAACTAAGGTTTTAGTTCCTAAAAAAAATCTGATTTTACGATGTTACTCTTTGAAAAATAGCACTGTAAATTGCTGCTTTTAAAAAATTTCGATTACCCGAAAGTTGCGTCACTTGAAACTGCTGATTTTATTTTAATTTTTTTACTCTTCTTTCAAAAAAGGAATTTCAATATGTGGATGTATATGTTTGTGACAAAAATTTAATTTAACATATATTTTTCGATATGTATTTCAACAATACTAGTATTTATTTATTATAGTTATATATAAGATGAAGAAAATTATTGCCGTATCCTCCATCGCTATAATATATCTTCGAGATTATATTGAAAGTTTTTGTTTTCTTAGTATATTTTCCTAATATTATATAATACTTTTATATTTGTTTAAATGTTCACATAATTTATAATATGCATTCTTGTTCTTTTTTTAAATATTTTCTTTTTATTACTTTTAGACTGCTGCATCACTTGCAGATGCTTCATTGCAACGTAGTAATGAAGAAAAACAAAAAGATGAACAGGAATTAATCGCAGCTAGAAGACGTGAAAAGCAAAAAATAATTGCACATCCACCACCCGGTCGTCATTCACGTTTCGGTGGAACTTATGTATTGCAGAATATAAAATCTATATCGGATCGAGATATTATATGCCATCAATCTTTAGAACGTGCCTCAGCTATTGACTTAGATCGAGAAAAAAGAAAACAAAAGCGTTCACATCGTATTGTCAATGAAGAAAATGTGTCAGAAAGACGTAGTGCATTTTCAGTTCGGTGGGTTATGTGTTTAAATTTGTATTTAGTTTAAGTAATAGAGTAATGTATATTATTTTCAAGATGGATATATATTGTTACATAATTGATATTTTAGTAATTTATTCTTATGAAATTTTTTTTTTCAATTTTTTTAGTTTCTTATTTTTGTTTTCAATATAAAATTCTGTGAATAAAATATTTTATGTAGCAATCACTAATTTTTGATAGCTAAAACATTTTTAAGATGTAAATAAAATTTACTAAAATTAAGATAAGATAAATTATGATTTACGTACATAGATGATTTTACTTTAAGATATAAAAGTTAATTAATATGTTGTACTCGTATAAGTTAATAATGGTACGCTCAGCAGTTTAAAGTTATACGTAGATGATTGCTTTTTGCTCTGTAATGAAGGCATTTCAACATTGCAATATGATTGCCACTAAATTTTTGGACTTTTTTTTTTTTTTTAAGTTTTCTATATTTTAATCTGTATTTTTTAAGTTTTATTCTTAAAAACTTTTTGTATGTTAACACTTTTTTCAAACAAAAATTATAATTCTATTTTCTAGAGTTTTTCTTTTTGGAAATTTGTCAGTGCTTGCTGTTATTTATGTATAAATTACTTATTCCCAATATGTTTTATTTGATGAGATTTTTATTTATTTGTTCATACATATGTACTTATATTGATTTTACCAAAATTTTTAAAAAGGAGTTTTTAATATTATATAAACTCCTTTCTAACTCTAAATCCTTTCAATATTTGAAGTAATGTCAAATTCTCAATTTTCGTTCTATTTTTCTTTAAAAAAACTACAAGTTTTATGTTTTCTGGTTGAAATTAAAAAAAAACAAAACCAATTTTGAATATTACCTCTTACTATAATATTATAATAGTAGCGTAATGTTTTGATTCAACTGGTATTTCTTTTTATGGTTTCAAAAGTTTCGTTGTCATCATTTTCATTTTTAGTCTTTGATATTATCATATTATCATCCTTACGAATGATATGTTTGGTTAGATGTAGAATGTTGTAATAGTATAAAAATTTTGAAAAAGATCTAGGCTTAAGATTCTTTCCTTTAAGATTTTTTTGACTTGTATTATTGTCAGTGGCTGCTATAAATTAAATTTATTTGAAAACTAAGTTAATATTCAATAATAGTTAATTTCCGCATAGTATTTTAATTTAAAATAAAATTATTTATTTTAATATAAATAATTTATTATTTTGCAAAATATATTTAAGAATCCTATTTAATTTCATTCATATTTCATTTTTTCTTAATTGCAGGCTTTGTCTTCGAGAATTTTGTATTGAAATCCTTCAATCAGCATACAACACATTAGTTCGTCAAGTTAGACGTGTTTTAGAACGTAATGTTGGTTCCAATAACAACGATGATTCATATTTGTTATGGGCAATACGTTTTTTTATGGAATTCAATAGATTAACTGGACTTCAATTACATTTAGTAAGGTAAGAATTTATTATAAATATTTGCGAAGAAATAAGAAATTCATTTAAAATTGCAATACAAGTTTTCTTTTATTTTAAATTTGTAGAGCAGATAGTTTCAATGAATGCGAATTGAAATATGTATTAAAAATTGATACCATAAAAAAAAAAATAGAACAAAGAAATTACAAAATCTGATTTAATAAAAGTTCATTGAATTGTAAAAGTGATTTTCTTTTTTTCTATAAAATGTAAAATTGTATTTGTTGCGGCTTATGTCCTACAATTTAATATCAATTTTGATTTTTTTTTTGTTTGTTCTATCTGAAAAATTGAGAAATACATAACGCATCTATTCGGATTTTCTATAGTTTTTGTTCATCAAAGCGATAAATTGGTTTATTGTTGAAACTATAAATGAAATTTCTAGTCTTTTTATATTGATTTTTCTTTCATCCAGGATATTCATAAATTTATTATTTCCATTTCCATATACATATATGTATATACATATGATTTTATCAAATTTTGTTTTTATTAAATATCATGTTCTCAGATATTTTCTTTTTTCATTCAATCGTTATGTTGTATCAACAAAACTGTAAAAAAATACAAAAAAAAAAAGGTTTGATTTTTATAAATTTTTCAACTCTAATGCAATTTTGTAATAGAATTACATATATAGAATTTCATTTTTACTTCATAAAATTCACAATCATCACAAAATAGTGAAGATATGAATAAGCCTTCGTATTTATTCATCCATGTTATAAAAAAAAGTAGTTTTGTAAAAAAAAAAGTTGTAATGATTGCTTTTTTATTTCATTTTTTAGTGAATCGCTAAGTGTTCAGTGCTTTCATTGGGTTCTTACCAGAATGCAACATGATTTAGATATGATAATATCTGATAAAAAACAAGCCAGATTATGGGCTAGAAGATTACATGTAGCTGTACAGGTAAGATTATAAGAACTTAAACGGAATTAAATTACAGAGAAAACCGGGAAAGGAAATTTCTATTACTCGTATTTGTTGTAATTGAACTTGCTATTTAATTTATACATATGTATAATATTTTTTAAATCATAAAAATTATTTTCTATTATTGAAAAATTATTATATTTGATAAAACTGAAATTCATTATTATAATTAAAAATTTAATTATTTTTAATATTTTAAACGAATTTAAGTTTTAGTAAAGTGCCTTCATATTTGGCATACCTTATAAATATAAAAATATAGATTAGGCATGAGTAAGTCTTAAAATACTTATAAATACAAAATTATTTTTTAATAACATAAAAAACAAAGGTTATTTACAATATAAAACTCAGTTTCACAAAAATTTGAAATTTTGGAAAAAATTTTAGTTTATTTCGTTTTCTTTTTGTTTGTTTTTTTTTACAATGAAAACCTGTAATGGTAGCAACTCAAAGGAAATTAGTTTTTTGGATTAATAAATAAACTATCAGATTATCTGTGAATGGGGTTGTAAATAGGGTAAAAAGAATATTTACAGGGCATATAATTGCTTTCATTTTGTAGACCTTTTTCAAATTTTTATAGTTTTATTTTATAATCCTTTATGAAAAGTCCTTTTTTCTTTAGGGATAAATTAATATTTAAATTTTGTTAAACATACAGAGTTTACTTTTAAAAGATTCTTGTAGAATTAATTACGGTGAGCACGTGTTGGGTTCATTTTATGTGATTTATTTGCTCAAAGAAGATTATGTTTTTTATTTAAATAAACTCAGATCATACCATTTTTTTTGTAGACTTGCTATATTTCTTTTGAGCAAATGAAAATATTTCTTTTTCAAAAATAATACATAAATATTTTTCGTTAATGCACAGAAACCTTGCTAATTAGTAAATAATATTGTTGCTTAACATACTTTCCGGATAGCGTAAAAGTTTCGACAAAATTTTTAGTGGCCATGCTTTCTTAAAAAATCCAGTTGTTTATATAATTTCATCTTTTAATCCTTTCAAGTTCTTTGAGAGAGCAAATGGGTGCTCAGTACTATTATTTGTTACCCAAATAATTGAAGACTTTCCATTTTCTTTTATTCTGTACGGTTTATTCAAAGTAAAATAGTGAAAAATTTTAAATTTAAAGTTAATTATTTTAAAAATATTTTCTTATCAAAAAAAAAAACTTATTTTTCCCATTTTCCCATTTATAAGTTGAAGAAATAAAAACAAAAATTACATTTTCTAATCTTCCCACAAAAATCAGTCTGGTATAACAATAATATAAGCAAATGTACATCCTTTTTTCTTAATCTTTTAATCAAAATTCTCTATTTCAGTTAAAATTATCCTTTAAAACTAACAAGACTTTTCGTTTTAATGTAGGTACACACACACAGACTTCATAAAATATAAAATTTTGTTTTGTACTTAGAATATAATGATGTTTGAACAGTAAAATTAAAAAAAACGTCCATTGTTTAGAGTAAATAAAATAATTAAAAGAAAGAAAGAAAGGAAAACATAAATTAGCATGATGAGATTTTTATCTTAAGGTTCTTAAAGTAATTTTAAAAGTGTTTTTTTTTTTCTTTATTCTCTTTCATTTCTATCCTTTGAAATTTGTTGCATTTGGCACATTGTTTTTGCTTTATGTTTAAGAGTTATGTTTAACGGTCACCAAGTCCATTGACATCTTGCAAAGTGTAAAATTTAAACTGTTTGGCATTGTGACAAATTAAATTGAGAGCAATTGAGGAAAGATTTTAAATTTTATTTAAGTAGTTGCATATAATCACATGCCGATTTTTAATTATGTTACGAGTTCATGTATGCAAGTTGATAACAATTTAAGAAAACTATTTTGTTTTGAAATATATTACTTAAAATTTTTTGAAAGCTTTCATTAATTAAAGAAAGCTAATTGCCAGCTGGTAGTTGTAGTGGAAAATGAAGAGACCAATGAAGTCGATTCATAATTCATATCAGATGACAGCAATGTTGAAAATACATTCATTTCTCGCTTAATGGAAGCTCGATATATAGAATTTCGGGTTTATAGAATTCAAAAATTAAGCCAAAGTATCTTCTTACGGCCAAAAAGGCGATTTACGAAAAATTTTTAAAATGCAATAAAGATTCTTGTTGTCTAATATTGTAATAATAATAAAATCCTACTATATTTTTTGCAAATTAACAAGGAATATATGTATCTATACAAGTTTATGTAAAAAATTATATGGCTGTAACGTAATCTAAGTAAAAACATTCGATCTATGAAATTTCGATTACATAATGTCTCTTCTATTGTAATTTGGAGTAACAGCGCATCCAAAATCATAAGCTCTGCCGTCATTTTAATTTTAATATTTTTGATTAATCTAAATATCTCAAAATTATAAAGGGCACTAAAACTAATTATTGCAAATGCTTGATCACCACTAGATAACGTAATGAGAGTAAGATGTGTGTTTTCTTTTTAATTTGTTGTTTTAAGGAAACTATAAAATTTTTATTCTTTTTTTTTTAATTAAGAATGTAATTTTAATTTTCTATCTTAACCTGAAATGAAGAATGAGAATTTTCATCAGGTGAAATAAAAAGTTTGCTCTTTAGAAAGGACGAAAAAAAAAATAGAGAAAGCAGGACATGCACGCCATTTTTCCATTAAAAATTTTGTCATCTTTCCTCACGTTTTGTAAACACACAAGTTTTGCAGTATTCATTCTTCTCTTTTGTTATCTACTTATCTAAATTATTTTAATAATCTTTATAGATTCTTTACATTGTTTTAACAGGGCTCTTTAAGTACAAGTTGCTTTTTATTTTGTCCTTTTATTCTTATTTTAAATTTTCTTTTTATTCATTTGTTTTTCTTGCAGTTAAGTACCCATTTAATTTTAAATTTTTTTTTCTCTCTTTATTTGTTAAATTTTATTTCTGAACAAATATTATAATTACACATACATTTATACTTAAACATTTTTCTTTTTCTTTAATTAAAGACATTCCGAGAATTACTACTGAGTTTACTTGCACTGCAAAAGTTAAAGGACGATAAGGCATATGCTTTATTCGATATGTTGTTGAACAATGTTTGTTATGTACTAGAATACCGAGAGACAATTTTACATTTACTAATGAACTACAATGAAGCCCACAGCACTAAGTAAGTATTAAAAAAAACTTAAAAAACAAAAAGACCAGAAAATTTAAGAAAAAAAAAATATGTTCAAAAATATGTTAAAAAACTTTTATTTTTTATTTTATATAAAATAGAATAATGTGTTCCATTAAAAATTAATTTTTGCTTCCGTTAATATTTACATTGTATTTAATTCCCTTATCTAATCGGCGGTAAATTTGAAAATATGACTAAATATCATAGTTATCTGATTAACTTTATATTTTTTTTTATTTAATAATTAATTATAGAATTGTTAAAATTGACCAAATAAGTGCTGAGGAGTTAGGAAGTCAACCTCCAAATCGAATTTGTTTTTACGAAGTAACTTAGAATTTGAAATATTTAATCCATTATCTACAAATCAAATGAAAAGAGCAATGGAATTGCAATATTTATTTTATTTTTTGGCATTTTTTTAATTTATAAAAAGACAGCATTCGTTGTTATTCTAAGGATTCGGCATTATTGTTATTTTGGAAGAGCAAGAGAATAAAATAAATTTTTCTTTGGGGACACTTTGTACATTGCTTCCTTGTTTGTTATATTTAAACTATATAAATATACTAAAACAATGTAAATTGTGTCATAGAATGTAGAATGGAAACAAAAACAAAAAAAGAAAGCATATTGTAATAGTGATTTGTAGAGTTATTTAATTTATACAACTACATAAGTATTTTTTCATACAAAGAAGTAAATTATTTATTTAACAAGTTTAACTTGGTTGGAATGTTATTTTGTAAACATTTTTATTTCATGCATCTCTGAATTTAAAATTTTTTTTAGATGTTAGATGAAAATGAAATAGCTTAAAAAGATTTTTGTTAAGTACTTAAAATACAGATCTATTATACTGGAGTAAATTAAAAGATGAAATAACTTTATGGTTTTTTCAACTTTAAATTTTATTATTTGTGACACTTTTTTAATTAGCTCTTTTAGACAATACACTATAATATGTATGTATATTTGCTTTCTTAAATGTTAAAAGCCGCTTGAATTTCACTATGGCTTATATTCGTAAATACATACGTTTGAGTTTGTGCCCTACCAAATCTTATATATATTTTATTTATTAGAAAATGGTGAACGCACAATTCATTGTTGTATTTAAAATTAAAATTCTATTAATAATATCTTATGATTTGATAATTGAAACAATATTGAAAAAATAAATTTCGCGGACAAATTCTGTTTAAATAATTACTAAAATAATTGAATATAAAAAAAGGCAGGGTCCTGAGCCATAACAAGCCATAATCGCTAATTTTTTTTTGAATATTAAAGAAAATTATTTACAGAAAATTAAATGTTAAAATACTACATGATGTACAATTCAAATTTGTTTGGAAATACGAAAATGAAATTCTAAGGCCGAATGCAGTTTTGTATTTTATATTAAATTTGTTCTAGATTTTTTAGTAAGCTAAAGATTTCTTTTCAAAAATTTAAGATAAATTTTTAATTTATATGTATACCTTGTGAAAATATCGTACAGTCGATCTTGTATAAAAATGAATCAACGAAAATAATTTTGCAGTATTTTTGAATGACCCTCTTTGCATTCATTTATAAATTCATTTTTATATCTATTTAAGTTCTCATCTATTAATTTTTTTCAATTATTAATTTATTGCAAAACGAGTTGTCATTTAATTACGGAGTATTTTGGACAAAAAAGGAGTACAGACTCTTAAACAAAAAGAGCTTTTACAGCGTCAGAAAACTGAACAATTGTAAATATTTTTTAAAAAATAAATGAATTTGATTCTTACTTTAAGGACATCTATTTTAAATTGAATTGAGGTTACAGATTGCTTCAAAAATTTTCCAAAGTCTATCAAGAGTACAAAAGATCAATTAGAGTGAAAACATAAATAAAATTTAATTTCTAGACCCATGAAGAGTCCCTCTTATTCACGTTCCACTGTGGTTGATCTTTAAACTCCGAAAATAAATAAATTATTCTTTAATAAAAACTTTCATAAAATTTAAACTTTTATCGAAAATCATATATGTAAGTAAATTTTGAAAAACTTTGTTGTTTTTTATGTAATAACTTTTTTTCATTTAATCCTGAAAATTGGGTTTTACTAATTGAAAATCGATTTTATAATTCAATTTTAAAGTGACATTTCTCTTTTTTAATTGATAACATTTTTCCAAAATATTCACAGAAAATTCTTATATTTTAAAAAGTTTCTCTTTCAAATTTTCCGAAAAAAAAACTCCTTTTAAGTTGCGTTAATGGGAAAACCATTAATAAAATTTTCAATTTTTTCAAATTTTAATGGTAGGATATTGAAAGAAAAAAGAAAACAAAAATTGTTTTATATTTAACTTTTAAAGTTTTGAAATAAAATTAATAAAATTTTCACGCACCCTTCAGCTGAAAAAAAAATAATATTTTATTTGAAAATTGGAAAAATTAATCAAAAATTTTATTAACTCTATTTTAAGAGGAAATTATTTATAGAACAAGGATATTAATAATATCCTTGTTGTATTAATTTCTCCAACATAATATGGTATACATAAATTTTTTGTGTATGTATGTGTATGTTTATTATGTATAAATATTTATTTTTTACAGAGTGTGTACGTTCGATTTTATATAAGTGCAATTTTGATTTAAATACAGTATGTTTGCTATACGTTCCATTGTTGAAAAAATAATTTTGAAGAAATATTTTTTTTTTGCTGTAAGCGTGTTTATGATTTGTGATATCATACGGTGCTAATGTATGCATAAAAACTTCTTTATAGAAAATTGTCGCATTAACTGAAATTTTAAGAATAATTTTGCGAAAATCACGTTCTAAGATTATTTCTTTTTTAATTATAATATTGAACGATCAATAATTAAGTGTAAATAATTACATCAAATAAAATGCCAAGAAGTAAATTAAGGCAACATTTTTAACTATAATTTTTTCGACACTGCTTTTATGTACGAAATCCTTTGTAATTGTTACTAAAAATATTAATTATACTATATAAAAGCTTTTACTAAATATCTATGCTCCAGAACAAAGAAAAAAAAGAGCCAAAATATTAATATTTGCAAATTCTCCCATACTTTTCTAACCTAATTTTGGGTAAAATAAATTTAAATTTTTCTTTAGATGTTTGTCAGTCCTAAATTGTATTTAATTATTTCTCTTCTTTGATATACACTCTAATTTAATTAATTCTGTCTCTTAAGTAAATTGTTAACAAAATATCTTTGTATGTGAATAAATCGACATAATGTGTTCATAAAAATGTGTATATGTACACGTGTACATAAATACGAGTATAGCATCGTGTTAAGTAATATGATAATTAGGTTTACCTATAGTCCTACACACTTAATGTATAATACATCATACTAAATATTTTGAGTTAAAAATAATTTTATATACATACGTAAGCATTTAAATGAACTAAAAGCATTTTGATCTAGATATTTTATTTCAAATAAGATTCTGAGTTGAAGAATTGAGAATTTAAAACAATATTTTTTTTATAATCATGATTTTAATGTATATTATATAGATAAGTTGATATTGGTCTTGCAGTGTTTTATGTATATAGGGTGTTTCGCGTAAGGTGGTAAATAATTTCAATAATAATTTTTTGATCAATTTCCAGTAAAAAATAATATGGGTGGGGTGTAGATATATATATACGTTTTCGAATTACAGTCTGTTGAAAAAAAAAGAGTGAGCAAATTTTGTTGTATGCATATATGTAAGTGTATAAAGGTTTATGACTTCGAAACCATGCGGCATACAGTGCAGTCACAGGTTATCTTCGACCATGTTTTCGGTTAGAATAATTCGAGTTTAAAAAGAAAAACAGAAAAAAATAACAAAAATTTTTATTTTGGCGAGTTTTATCTTAAAAGCTATGCCTTAAATCAAATTGATTGTGAGACGAAATTATTTGCCACTTTATGCGAAACACCCTGCATAAATATGAAAAATTTTCGCAATAATATAAAAATTTATAAAATGCCATACAAGATTTATAAGTAAGCAATTTAAAATTTTAAAAAATAATTATAAGCTTATAAACTAATTTTATTAACTAATTTTCTTTTATTCTGAAGCGGAACCATGTACTTAATTTCCATTTGTTATAAATATTTATTATTCCTTCCAGGATGTTTTTTACTATTCTCCCCAAAATATAATTTTAGATTATTTAAAAAACAAAATAAATTGCGAGTTTTTCGTTTCCAATTCTCACTTTAAATTACTAAGTGAAAAGTCGAGTACAAAAACAGAACAATATATAAATCTATATAAAAATCGCATTTTTGGTTCACATGGAACGTTCTGTTCGATTGTCGTTTCGAATCAAGAATCCTTTTGAATACGAATGCAAAATTCAATAATTCCATTCAGTGTTCCCACTCGGAAAAAACAAAATGTATCCAATTTCGAGAAAAAAATGTATCCAAAATGTATCCAACCACCTAAAATAGCATTATTATAATAAGTCGTCTTATTTTGTACAAATTAACCCATAATTAATATTAATTTGCTTTATTCCACAATATGAGTTTTGTTATTTATACTAAATTCTTTAAGAAATCACATACAACTTCTATTATATTTTAAATGTGAAAGTTAAGGTCAGAAAAAACATATGCATACATGCCTTCTGTAGTTGTTGAACTATGCGGTAAAGACGATTGACCATGAAAACGGACAAATTTTAAAAAATATGTACATCCAATGCATTTTCTATTACATCTAGCTAACACTAGCATATTTTTGGTACGTTCTTGTATGAATTTTCTAAATTTGAAAACAGGAAGAGGCAGTTAATAAAGTATCTTTTTTACTTTCTTGTAAAAAATTCGGAAACCTGCTTAGAATAGCCAGCAAATAACATTTATTGATGATAAAGCAACTTCGCGATTTAATATTAGCAGCATTTTAACTGTTTTGTAATATTTATTTAGTGTTTGAAAAAAAATGTATCCATATTTCAGCAAAATTTTAAAATGTAGCCAATTTCGGCATTTTAGCAGATTTGAGTATCTTTGTATCCAAGCTCAAATTTAAAGCAAAAATGTGTCCAAATGGATACAATTGTATCCAAGTGGGAACGCTGATTCCATTCCGATTTCTTCAACAGTCTTTAACAATTATAAAATTGGAGAATATAGACATGTTAGAATCTAAATGATTTTTGCAAACATCAAGTTGTGAATTAGCTCGACGTATTATTTTACATCAAGAAAGTAATATTATTAGCAAATAATAAATAAGTTTGGATTTAGTTCATTTGATAACGTAAGCATATATATATAGAGCCTGATGAAATATCTATCAGGCATGGCATTTTCCTGCAATTAAAACAATTACGAAACTGCCAAAATCAATTATGGAATTTAAATCAATACAATGGAAAATGCGTGTACTATGTGAAATATTTCCTAAAATTTTTTGTTTTTCATATATTTTATGCTTTGAATGTTTTAATACATATATACATAGTGTGTGTATGTATATCTATAAAAATTTGTTTGAAAATACTTTATTTTATTAAAATTGTAAAAATAATTTGCTACGAAATTTTTAATTGAAATAAAATGTTACTTGTGTATGTATATGTATTTCAAAGTAAATTTTTAAATTAAAATATAAATTTTTTTTCTTGTATAATACACGCAATTCTTTTTATAATTGAGTGTACACTCGAATATCTTTTTTGCATTTTATGAAAGCAAAAAATTTATAAAGGATTTTCAAAAGATTCTTTTATATTGTATTGTTTAAAAACCGTATTTATGTACGTACCTATACATAAATTTTCCTTTTATTTATGTTAGTTTCCTAAATATTCTTTTTATTTTTTCCTTCGTTCCACAAAATAAAAACTGATTTTTACATAGTATATGTGATACACACAGGCAGACACATGCAAATGTAAAAATGCATGTAAAAAGAATATAATATACTTCATATCCTTTTTGTTGTGAAAAATCACACAAATTGCAACCACACATTTATTTACTTTTATTTCCATTTTAAATAATATGAAAATCACTAAATGTCATTCAAATCCTCGTTAGAAATGTAGGTCATAGTTTACTTTAATTTAAAACAAAAAGGAAAAGTAAAGGATAAAAAAAAATTAGCAAAAAAGAAATTTTTGCGTGGTTGCTTCGAAAATAAAAGAGAAAAATAAACCAAAAGTTTAACTATGTGGAATTAAAAAAAAAAAATAAAAAACAAAAAGAAACGAGTATGTCACATGTTAAACCAGACCACTGCATTTTTTTAATGAAATTATCTTCAAACATTAAATAGTTTGTTATAGGTCAAAAATGACTGTACATACGAGTAGACATATTATTATACATGTGGACAAACGAGTATAAAATTTAATGTTCTTTCACTTTCTTTGTATTTCAATACATGAAAAGTTCTTACTACTTAAAAATCTTGTATGTATGTATGGGGTCTTAATGTTAAGTAGAAAATGTATTTTATATAGGACTTTTTTGAAAACTGAATTCGGTATAATTAAAAGCAATAATTGTTTTCAAGACCAAGGATAATATTTTAATTTGGAAAACTTTATTATTATTCGCTTTCTGAAAAAGTAATTATCTTAATTTGCAAATGCATGTATCGGCGAAGTGTTGCAAGCGTATGTACTGTTTATTCCTTTATATAAAAAAAATATTAAAAATTGGAATTTAAACAAAGAGTTTTTTTCATACTACAGATTTTTTTCATTAAATATGTTTTAATTTTGAATTATTTAAACTTATTAACTTTTAAACAAAATTAAGAACAAACAATGAAAATTCGATTAAAGCAAATTTTTAATGCGGAACAATTGAACCAATTTTTTTGCTCTTAAATTTATAATATATGAAAATAAAAATGAAAATAATTTGTTTTTTTTTTTGCGAAATGGTTTCTTTTTACTACATTTCAATTCGTTGTAACCCTTAAAGCTTTTTAAAACGTGTAGATGCTTTCCACTATTTTCATTTGTACGCATGGATTTACTACTTAATTTCAGACGCTTTTTATTATATCATTCCCTACCTTAGTCTTTACCTTTCTCCATGTCTTGTTAACTAGAGTCTTTTAAATATTTCAAAATTTTGAAGTTTATTTTTAACGTCTTCAAGGCTCGATAGGATAGAAAGGAATGGATATATAGCATAAGCATGTTAATGTGTGTGAAATATATTTTCTCAAGAGAGAATTTATTTTATAAATTTTTCATACCAAGACACAAGAAATGCTTAACTTACAGTTGAATCGTGACAACACACTATATATTATGAAAATTTTTTGAAATTTTTTAGAACGAGCCTTAAGTGTTACTTTTATTCGATTTTATGAGTGCAACTGTAATTTTATACAGTGTGTACAAAAAATCTCATACATACTCAAACATGATGTTATAACACCAAAATTAGTTAAGTGAAGTATTTTCATGACTAAAACAAAAATTTTCATTGCTTCAAATTTCTTAGAAAGAAATTTCTTAACACTTAGTATATAAAAATAAAATATTATGGGCATGTACACCAACCGAAACATACTTGTATAATGTATATAGAAAGCCATGTTGATTTTTGCGTTGCAAATCATTTTTGCAGCTTTCCATTTCAATCTAATTGATCTGTGCCTTTGTAGATTTGCGTTATATACATAGATGTACCTAAATGTACGTGACATTCTGTTTTTTAACCTCTCTGCACGTACGTTATATTGTTATTTAATAATTTAATTATTTAAATGTAAATTTTTTTAGATGTTTGGAATGATATACAATTTATTTAATTAAATGCTAAATTATTTTATCATTAAAGTATTAATGTCTCTAATTGACAAAAATTGAATTAAATTTAAATTTTTGTCCTTGAACTAATTAAAAAGAACAAAGGGTAACATCCAAATAAATTTTTTTGTACGTGTATATTCGGTTTTTTATAGTATACTATAACAGTAGAATTTGTATAATATAGAAATCTTGCAGATCTATAGAAATTTGAGTTCCGCAACTTCTCTTAAAGTTTAACTGTCAGAAAATATAATTAGCAAAATGTGATTCTTAATTTATTTGACATTATTTATTAGGAATTTTACGTTACCAATACGAAATTTACGTCTTCAAGTTATTTGAATCAGGTTATTCTATACGTACATATTTCCAAAATAAAATTTAATTAAAGCTTCAGCACACTTGTCTCTTCTTAGATCTCAACATGATCAAATTATCAAAATTTAAATTTAATTTTTTTAATTTAATAATGAAACTTTAATGTTTCCATGTTTTTCCTGAAATGAAATCTGCTTACATTGGGAATTAAAATTGAAAAGAAAAAATTGAAATATCATAATCAATGCCCTTAAAACATTCTCTAATTAAAATAAATTGCAATTTGAAACTTAACCACTCGTACAAATTAATTGTAGTCTATTTTAATAGTATATCTGCATTTAGCCTTTTATTTTGATTTTCTCCTATTTTTTGTTTTTATTTTTTAAAATTAAAATAATACTCTACTGACCTAATAATACATAACTCTTTTATAAAATTCTAAATTAGATTAAATTAAATTTTATTTATTTTATAATTTTATTTTAGGGCATTTCTACGTGATGTTATTGAAACAGCGAATATTTTTATCAAAATGATGGAAAAATTTTGTAAGGACACTGCTGTTATACAAGAGAAAAAACATGGTGGCCGGAGGAAAAAAAATAAAAAAGTATTAAATAAAAAATCAATGAACAAAAATGCGGATAAAAATTTGGACAATCCTGATAATGTAAGCTTTTTCGTAATTTTTTTTTTTTAATATTTTTGTGCTCCTCTTCATTGTGCAAATTGCAATGAAGGATTTTTTTTTCCTGTATGGAAAAGAAATAAAAATAAAAAGGAAGAACAGGGATAATTTAACAAAGAATCAAAAAGTGTTAAAAAAATGTGAAAAAAAAAAGAAAGAGCAGATGCTTAATTTTTGTTATGCAATCAATTTCTTTTCAATTCGTTAATTTGGTGTTCTTTATTGGTTTTCTACAGTTTCTTTTTATTTCCTTTTGAAAATATGACTTTTTAAGAGAAAAAAATTAAATTCTATCTTTAATAGCTTTTAGGGAATTTCTTAAAAGTGTAAATTTTATGAGTTTTCATGTAGTTTGATAAATTGTCAAAAGATGGTATTTATATGGCGCGATAAGGACTTTTAAACAGCGAAAAAGGGTTCATATGTTACAGTTTTTATCACAATTAGCTTAATATATAATATCAAATACATACTAACTTGCAATGAGTTTCAAATAGTTTTCAAAGAAATGGAAATTAAAATTGAAGGGGAAACCTGTTTTCTAATTCTTTGCTGTCATTAATTGAGAAAAATCCTTTTCTGTTTTTTATTGACCGATGATGATTTTTAAGGATTAATATCTAAAATATAGTACATAATTATATCAAAATACAGTAACTAATAAAAATTCAAAATAATATTTTTGAAAACCATATTACGAATTAGTTGGAAAAGTGAACTTACAATACATGGGACTTTTATATTTCTTATAATAACGTATAAAGTTGAATTTATATAGACAAGCTATACTACTTGAAGTTTAGTTGATTTTTATTTTAATTTCGTTACCCTATTATTAATATATTACCCTATAACGTATTTCATTATCCTATTAAATGAATCATTTGGATATAAATATTTTAAAAGAATGTAAAAGATTCACAATTATTTTGAAGAAAAGTTTTTTCAGTTTTCTCTTTCCAAAAGTATTTTAAAAATATTTTTTTCTCGTTTTATCTGAAATAATGTACTCGTATGTATATATATAGTATATTCTATCCCCAATTAATGTTCAATTTCCCCATTTCTATTTCATTTCTAATAATCGCATTAAATACGATAAGACTGGCATAATTTTTGTAATAAATTTCATATATGTCATAATTTCACAAATTATATTTATTTTCTAAAATGGGAGTTTGAGGTTCATTTATCTTTCTTAAATCGATTTATTATCGCCTTAAGTATTTATTTGTTTGTTTGTGAGTTAATGATTCGAAAGGCTTGGTTCGATGTGTTCCAACTGTACTCCTGTATAAAAAAACGGATTATCTCTGATATTAAAATCACAACAAGTTAGAAATGAGAATTGCAAAATTTTTACGGAATTCCTGTAGAATTTTAAAAATTTGAAATAAACTAATGTTCTGATATTTTTTTCCAAATTTAATTTATTAAAAAAAATATACTGATATGTTTCTAACTAAGTGCAAATGTATCATACTTAAAGAATATTTGTTCAGAAGTATTTAGGATTTTTAATTATTTTTAATCTTACAAAACTTATTTGAACTTTATAAGTACAATCATATAAATTTCTGTTAACGTTGTTGATTCAACTTGAATTTTTTGTAAATATTTTTCATTAGTTGTGCATTGATGTAATTGATTTTGCTTGTGCGAGATAACTTTAATAAATTTTTTAATGCCAAGCTGTAAAACCATCAGTTGTGTATACTGGTCACATCATATTTTTTATGTTTGTCGTACTTTAAAACAAAATTTATACTTCAATAAAATTCAATTGAGTGAAAAATATAGGCTTATTTTTTCCAAGTTTAACATTTGTTCTTGTTATTTTATTGTAACAGTAGATTTGTCGATGATTTTTACATAATGTATAGCAATTGTTGTAACTGTCATGATATTTATAGTATGTATTTATTATTTGTGATATTTATGTATATGTGAGAAAACCCATGTGTATTAGACTTTCAATTCAATTTAATATTATGTATTTCATTATACCCTGTACCTTCGTGAGCTTTGACACGGAGTTTGTAACTAGTAAAAAGAGTCATTTGTGACAAAGAGATTTATAATGAATATATATTATTGCTCAGCGTAAAATTCTGCGTTGACTTATACACGCCAGTCTTCCCGTCCATTCGATTACACGATAACTCAAAAAGAAATAAAGCAAATACCACCAAACTTTCACAAGTAGTTTCTTTTATGACGAGGACGGGTAACGGGTTCCGGTAGCTGCGATACATCTCGAATAGCTTATTTGAGTTATTTCAAAAACTAATAAAGGTAATATGAAATCTTGTATACGTGTGTCCAATTACATTCTACATACGCTCTAATTTTTATGAAATTTATGAAATGGTTTCACGGATTTGGGTAGCTGATATACAACTCCAACAGGTAATTTTAAATATTCAGAAAAATAATAAAGCTAGATTCATGAAATTTGGCAATCATGTGTCCAATTATAGGTCACACATGTTCTTGAAGTTTTTGCGAATAGTTTGACAGGCTCGAGTCGAGCTATACTTCATAGCTAATTCCAAATATTTGAAAAACAAATTTTTATACTCAGATTGTTAAGGTGCAGGGTATAATTAAGTCGGTTTAGATCGACTAAAATATTTTTACTTGTTTTATTTTTTTAATTTTTTATGCTTACATTTTTATACTTGTGTTTCTTTAGAATGAATTTGGAATCTATATGAATCGATTTCCGATTTAAAATGAAGAATATTGAAGATATGTTTGCCAAAATGTTGTAATGCACTTACATAAAGATACCAAAATTTTAAAAATAAAATTCAAGAACTGTAAATAAAAATAAGAAAAAAATATCTTAGGTCTTTAGGATTAGGTTTTATGAACATTTTTTTTTTGGTCTTGCAAATTAAATATTATATTTTTATTTAGAAGCATAATGTTAGCAAAAACTAAAGAATTTTTATGAAATAATATTCAAATTATATTTTATATTAAAAGTCTGTCCAATTATTATTTAAATAAAAGAATTATATTTTAGAAAAATCTACTTCTCATAGATATTTATGCATTTATTCAATAAAAATAAAATATATAAATTAAATTCGAATTTACATTGCTCCACGTGTTGAAGCGTTTACACTTCATTTCAAAGGCTCTATGGTTTTTGTACTATTAACATGTTATAAAAAACGATTGTAAAAGTTTCAATTACTTGAACAGTGTCCAATATATACGTAATAAATATGTCTTTCAAATTGAATATGTATACTAAAGGTCAAGTAAGAAAAGCGACAGCTTACCAAGCAATTATTCCTATTTATACACTCTGTCCGTCCGTCCGTCCGTGGACACTTTTTTGTTTACAAAACTTCTACATCCTTGAAGATAGAAATCTAAAATTTAATAAGTACGTAGATCTTTACTAGAAACTTATTTCCGTAGAACAAAATTTTTACCTATCTCTCCTCCTCTAAAAGTTATACCCCCCCAAAAGCTTAAAAACGGCCTTTTTTAGCTGTTTGTTGCAATGAAACCATAAGCATTTTTCAAAACCCAAAAAGGCAGTGGCTTGCTTTTCCTATCGGGGCATACTACAGTTAAACTTAAAAAAAACAAAATGGCCGTTCAAATTTACCGTTATCTAAAATCCATTTTTTTTTTTTCAAATTTTTGATGTCGTTTTTCTTCTAGACCCCAGGAGCCTGAAATTTTAGCAGCTTTTAGATGCTAATAAATAGTTTATTTCGTTAGAAGAACATTTTTTTCCATCTCCATCCCCTCTCAACTTATCGACTCTTGAAATTTGTAAAATTTGAATTCTTGATACTTTATATTTCCGAAACCGCAAGCTTTTTAATAATTCTATGAACGTAAAAAGCTAACGGTAAATTCCATAATATTAAAAAATATAATTATTTTTCTTAACTCACGCAATTAACCCTTAAATTCGAGCATTATGTTAAGCAATCTTTAAATTAATTTTTGCTTGCATAAGGCAAAAAGACTGCATAAATCGTTCATCCTAAATATATGCAATCCTAGAAATAGTTTCGTATATGAATGAAAATATTTTTAATAGTGTGGTAGGTACACATAGACTGTGCTTAAAAGCAGTATTTTCACTTGTTTAAGGGAGTTAAGTGCTACAATACAAACCATTGGTTTGACCCAACTTTATTTGTTTCTGTTTCTGTATACTTATGGATGAAATCTTGAATCTTTAGATATTAAAGAACTATCAAAATTTGTGTAACAAATTTCTCTTTTACTTATAGATTTATAGAGTGGATTTCTAACTTTTTTTATTAATTATGCACTAAAAATAGTAGTGACTAATATTAAAAAAATTAAGCGTATATGTTTTTGACATAAAAACAAGGTATAGAAAATAAAATCATAGTTTTAGCAAGTAAAAGTACTAAAGTACTATTATCGTAGTTATTATTATATTGTTGTGCCTCATAGTACTTGTTTTCACTGATGAAAAGTATTACAATATTTAATTAATTAAACAAATGTACTGCCCAAACATAATTTGTTTTTTTCACAAACTTCAATTTTTTATATGTATATATTTGTGTTTAATTTTGTAATATGTATATTACAGCTATGTATATGAAAAACAAATAGAACAAAGTATGTAATAATATGAGTTACAAAGAAGTGGCTATAACTTCTTAAAAAATATCAAAAATTATTATCGTATATAAAATATAATATTCTGATCGTAAAAAAATTTTCCTTATTTTGTTTAGAGAAAAAATTATTTTGTTCAAATAATATTTCTATGAAAATCGAATTAAAAAATCATAAAAGAAAATTTTATTACAAAAAGGATATAAAACGGATTTATTTAAGAAATATTATTTACAAAATTTATTTTATATTTGGAAAACAAGTTTTTTATATTTTTTGTAAGAAAATTGATTAAACTAATGTGGCGAAATACGCAAATACGATAGCAGAATTTTTTTTTCATTTAAAAATAAGTAGTCATTAAATTTAAATTTTTTTACATTTGTTTATAGGGCTATTTGCTTATACTCTACAATTATTTTTTGAAAGTGAATTGTTATTATTAAAGATTTGTCAAATAGCTTTAGTAACGTGAGTTTGTTGAAGATTTTATATTAAAAACATTGTAAATATGAATTTATTTATAGTTAAAAATTTTAAAATTTTTAATCGGAACTATTTGTAATAAATATTTTTTATTATAAATTTAAACATCCCTCAACTTATCAGGTATTTCGCACGATTTATTGCATAACATTTTTTTTCCGAAAATTGTTTTAATTATTTTTCTGCTCAATATAAATACATACATACCTACATAAGTTTTTGCATTTGTGCTCTATTGTACATATTGAATAATAATTTCGCTCTATAATAATTTATTTATAAAGGAATGTAATTGTATATCAAATTGAGGAAAAATTAAATAAAAACTGGAAAATATAACTGTGAAATCATTTAATTTAAATTCACTATATACAAAAGCAAAAAAAAAATGTATTTATTTGCATTTGCCAACTATTAAAGAATTTTAAACGCTTCAATTTTATTGAATTTTTATGATTACTTGGGTTTATTCTATTCACTTCACTTCCGATTCGAAATATTTTATGTTTAATTAAATGATTTTAAAAGGTGTACATGAAAAAATTTTAACGTCCGAAAAATTGTGTACAGACGTTTTTGTAGAATTTATGCAATTGTGTATGCATATATGTACATAATATGTATGTATACGGGAAAATTGATATATGCGTAAACTTCATCGATCTGTTCAGAAAATTAATTTATAATAAAAATTTCTGAAATATACTTGCAAGATATACACGGGATATTTTATATATTCATTAATAGCACTATGCAACTTTAATTTTAACAATAAAAAATAAGGACGAATTTATGTATGTTCATGCAAAGTTTTTGAAATTATTATTAATGTAAATTTCTCATTTTAAAGAAAAGTTTTAATACAAAATAATATTACTTACATAATAATACTCGTATGCTGAATTTTCTATAAAGTCATAAAATTTCAAATGAAAATCCCATAAAATGAATTTAATGGGAATTGACATCAAAGTAAATATGTATGTATTTCGTTACTACGAGTATTCTTTTTTATGTTAACGATCTATGTATTTTAAGCGCAAGCTCTTGCAATTTATTAGGATTAATCACTTAACAACTGTTTTTGCTAAAACAGTCATAAAGTATTAATAACAGTCATAATATAATGAAAAAAAGTGACGTGGTCATCCCATAACCAAACGGAGTGTGTTTTGTTAGCTAGCTTAGTATTATAGAACATTATAAAAATTTCTTTTAAAGATTTCTTTTCAATTTTAAGGAAGTTAACAAGCTTTTAGTTCACATACCTAAAAAATTGTAAATTTGGTTCTTAGTAGAATTTTACTCTATGCAACCCTAATTCCCTGAAAACTTCATGCGTTAGTTCCGGTAACAATCACAATTTAAATTTTAAATTTCATGAATCCATTTCGTAGATATGTTGAAAAAATGTAAAATCAGCGCCCAGTTAGGTTTCCGAGTTTTGATCTTTGCAAAAAAAATTATAGATTCATTATTTTAACGCACCAAAATTAAATATTAAATTTCAAGGAAATTGGTCAATAATATTTCTCTTTATATAAGCAAAAATGGCTCGCAAAAACGTCCAGTTTTCGAAGTGTGATGTATACCAAAAGTTTATTAATCCGTGCCATAGCCAAAACAAACTCATATATAAAATTTCATCAAAATTGGTTCAGTCGAACTTGAGATACATACACGTGTGCACATGCAGACTGACACACAGACAGACAGACCGGCAGGCCGAAATCTCTCTAAAAATATAGTTATTTACGCTTCCCAACTATGAAGAAGTGCGTTCCACCGAAACTCGACATCTGAAATTTTGTGCCATATTCTCCCTTATTGTATGCAATGCGTTCGGTAATTGAAAAATTATCGCAGAATTAATCAAATATAAACTATACTTTTGCCATTACACTGTTACAAGAGTGTTAAAGTATTTATTACATGACGACAATTCAGATAAGCTTGGGTTAAACGATAATGATTTAAAAAAAAAAAACAAATTTAATTTTAAATATCTAAGTTTTCTGCCTATATTTTTAAGAATGTGTTTAAAAAATTGATACGAGTATGCAAGCGAAATTTTTTTTGAAAATTTGAATTTATGTTCCTGATGTGTGTTCATCGGGTATGTCCACAATAATGGATTCAGTTAAATTTGGATACTATAGGAAATAAATTTATATAGAAAAAACAAATTTTATGGTGAATAACGAATAACTTTTCCAAAATGTTTAATTAGACAGAATATCAAACACAAAATAATCGGTTTTTTTTCGGGATTTAAAATTGGATTTTTATATTTACCTTTATATATCTATTTTTTAACCAGAAAGGTGAGTGTTTTTTATGAATAAAATTTTATCTAGGAATTTAAACTTTGCGTAAAAGTTATTTTATCTCGAATGCTTTTCATTAATGTTTCATATAGACTTTTATGTAATTCTATAGAAAATTTTAATATTATATAGAAATATATAATATATTTATAAACATGACTATTAATATATTTAATACTTTATTGGTGGAGGACAAATATTTGGATTCAAAAGAAGAAAAAAGCAATAAAATGGCTACAAATCGGAAAAGTTGCAAACCTATATCTACAATTTTTTTCATTTTCATAGTCATGGTGTATTTAAAGTGGATATAGAGAATTGAAGAATTTACTATACTATTTATAATATATTGAGAAATAATGATTTAAATCTGGGATGTAGATAAATATTGAAATATTGCTGCTACTAACTCTGTTACAAATTCTTATATCTATTTACTATCAACCTTAAGTTGAAAACAGAACAAGAGTGATTTGAAGAGCATATTAAGTAAATACACCGGTTGCGTTAAAGTACCCACTATTGATAGGTCTGACAACGGTTTGTGTCCGCCTATCTTTGTCTCCCGATGATTTTTAACATCTGTAAAGAAAAAAAATCTGTTTCCATGTGTGTGTGTGACATTCTGCTGTTGTTCTGGATTAACAACGGTAATCGTCCGTTTTTGCCGTTCGCTGCTTTGGCTCTGTTTTTACAACACTAATTACAATTTGCACATGTCGTCTTTCTTATGTGTAATATTATGTCATTAAATTCAACGTTTGAGTGAAAGTGATTAGCGTACCCCTTTTATGTTTTAGTCACGACTTTTATGTTTTAGTTAAACTTTTAATTGTTTTCAATACTTTGTAAAGTATAAATAATTTAAATTTGCGATATAGTAGCAATTCAAGATAGAGTTGAGGTATGACTATTTTCTAATTCAGTTGGAATTACAATGGACTTTCTTGCTAAAGGGGTGGAGGCTTATTCTAGTCTTAAAAAAATCTTGTACATTTATCATAGTTTATTAAATTTAAATTTATTTTTTGTAATCTTATGCGTCTAAACTCTATATGTTTTTAATCTTGCTAGAAATTTTAGAGTTTTCATATTTTATATTGAAATATACAATTTTGTTTCTATTTTGTGTTAATTTAATAATTACATAACTTATCATGGACGTTATCAGTTGCTTTTAATTTTATTTTATTTTTAACTAATTGATATTCTAATTTAATTTTTTTTTGTTAATTTTTAGCAAGAAGAATTGGAAAATAAATGGGTTGAATTGTCAAATGAAATTGTCGCAATTTTAGCTGATAGCGAAATGATAAAATTACCAGAAGAGAATCAACCAATACCATTTGATGCAACATTAGAAAAAAGTATAGATGATCAAAAGTAGGTTAAATTAATTAATTTATACATCAAGGATTATTCATTAATCCTTGAAATTGATTTATTTATTTATGTATTTTATTTTTTTTCCAATGTGTATGTACATATAAATTTTTTCTAGGTTCTTTATAAATTTTAACATTCATTAACGTGTATAAATTCATCATAAAAGTGCATGTGTATGACATTTTGTTAAAATGGTTGCTATTTGTGAATAGCAATAAACCATATAAACGAGTGCTTGTGTACAAATATAATAATGTATATACAAACTGACATATATATATATATACATTTTTTACCAAGATTTTTTTTCAAATAATTTTTATTTAGATTGTGAACATGATAACGTAATACGGTAATTAGAAAATGAAATTTAACTATTTAAAAAAAAAAAAACAAAATGTCAAAAATTAATTGAATTTCAAAATTTTTGTGTTACTTTGAAAATAAAAATTATTTATGAAATTGGCAAATGAAAAATATAAAAATCAAACTCTTTTTTTAACATGACAATTTAGATTAAAAGATATTAAAAATTTATTTTATTGAATCGTTTAAAATTTTGATTAATTTTTTTAGACAATATTTTCAAACATGGTTAAATCTCAATTAGATTTCGATTTGCCGGAAGCAGTCTGCATAGTACATCTATATAAGTGAAAATAATGAAAAATTCATATATGTAAGCATTTAAATTTCTGAATTCAATTGGGATCGAATGGGATATTGCCGAATTTATAAAAATATAGAACTAGATTGTTACTAAGTTCTTACTAAACACGTTTCCTTTTATCATTAATATTTTGTATTGAAATTTGTAATTATATACAGCACCATATTATAATTGAAATATAATTATAAAAATTTTTTTGTATAGCGTTAAAATAACTCATAAACGCAATTACCGTAAAAAAATTAGTAAACATATTTGTTAGCAATGATCTTATTTTATTATTCTGACTTTTTGCCAAATTTTGTAAAAATTTCGCTATCCCATTAAGGATGAGATGTAATAGATGTTGCAAATTTTTATGGAATATGATTGATGTGTGCATACACATTTGTTTATTTTATTCGAAAAAAAAATCTTTTAATATTATGTGCAGATTTTTCTGCAAAATAGTTAATTTATTATTTATAAATAATTTTTAATTTCAGGGAGGATTGCATGAAAAGAATTCATAAATATCTTCGGGAGAATAAACTTGAACATGCAATATGTTTACTAAGAGCAGCTAGGTAAGCTTTCTTATATTGAGAAACTAGATTAATAATAAGTATTTTAAATTTCATTATATTTAAATTTATAAACTTCTATTTAAAAATTATTAAGCGTTATATTTGATTGTAATGTGCAGATCAGCTGTTAAAGCTTTGTGAAAACAGAACAATTGTTATTATGTGTAAATAGAAAAGTTCTTATGAATATAGAATTCCTTTCTGTATATAAGTCCATGTAATTGTGTACAGAAAGTTTGTGTAATTTATATGATTAGCTACTTTCGTCTTTCAATTTTGACTACAATCGAAAGAGATTATCTTTAATGAAATCTTAAAAATCCGGTACAATTTTTGTTTTTGCTTTGAGTCTTTATTTTATTTAACCCAACTCAATTGTTAACATTACTGGTGGAGTGTATAATAATGTTGTAGTTCAATTTCGTACATCTTTTCTATATAATGTAAAAATCTTTCCAGCTATGTGTATTTTATGCTCGATCTAAATATCCTTTTTTTATTTTGCTTTAAATTTTGTTTATGTATTAATATTGTGTATAACAAATTGTATATACACAAACTATTTTAGAATAAACGTTTGTATATTTAAGATAAAGCCTTCTACAAAGGATATTCTAAAGGATCCGTGAACAAAAGGAAAGTGCATCTGTGGGATATAGAAAAAAGCATTTATTTTAGTTTTTATTTTTTTTTTAGTTTTTATTCTTGCCTTTTACTACATTAGTTTGTGCTTAAGTCATGAATATTCATTATTTGTAACAAAAAATGGAATCATAGTGCGGGACTAATTTAAATCTAATTTTAATTATTATTTCTTACATAATTTTGCTTTTCCTGGGTAGAAAATTGTCTGCACAAATAAGATTCTGTGCGTTTTGTAAATGTTCATGTTTAATAACTTGATAATGGAATTTAATAAAAGTTGCTTTAAATAATTATGAACTACTAAGATAATAGAGCTTTAATAAAGAATATTTACAAAATAAAATATCATTATGCAGGGAGGGATATTTTTATATTTTAAACATTAAACTGTTATGATAAAGCTGTAAATATTTTCGTATGTATAATATAAATTAACATTGAAAATATAATATTCTATTGGCAGTGCTTTACAGGTTATGTTTTTAGAAATTATAGAAGGTTGTTTCATACCTTTTTGCATTTACTAACAAAATTGTATGCAGCTTCAATATTTCTACTGTACCTGCAATAATAAAAACATGTAAGTTTAATTAATACCAATAACTGTTTAAATTGTACGCCTAAATGTTATTCCTTATAAAAGTCAAACAAGAATATCTGTAATTGCTAAATGTATGAGAGTAAGTAATATTCAAAATATTCTTAGGTATAAAAACTATTACAGAAATTTTTCGTGTAAAAAGATTTTATACAACAAATTCTTTTTTCAGTCAAAGCTCATAGTGCAGATGTTCCTGTACCAAATATGTAACAAAAGTTAAAGAATAATATTCTTTTTTAAATACATTTGCTAATCAGAAAACTTTTAAATAAATTTGAAACCATTATTAGATTTCACTAGCACATCACATACAAGATTTCTGTGACAATGCTGTTCTCCGAAATGCTTACTAAAAATAAATTATTTTAAATAAATGTTGGTCTGCTATTTTAAGTGAGTACTGTATCTCTATTTCAGTTTTACAAATTTGTATGAAAATTTATATTTGAGTCTAATTAAAGAATTAATTAAGGGATTGTTTTGACATTTCTTAGTTAAGTAGCATTTGAAAGATATTCAATGACTTTTTTGTTGTTTAAAGGTTTGAATTCAAATACAATTATCAAATTTAAAAGGATAGTTTTATAAATTAATTTTCTAATCAAGTGTTCCTAATTTTAAGTGCAAAAATGTTGAAGAGTTCGTAATGTTTCTCTTGTTTCTTTCCCAAAAAAATAATACGAAAACTTTTTCATAAGTTTAGAAACAATACAATAATTGAAGGTTATAATTAATTTACGTCCCAAATTTCAAACAAATTAGCATCGGACGCTAAACTTTATTTGTTACAATAAATTTAGGACAACGTTTAATAAAATGTGACATTTTCGAAATTTTCATTTTTTTAATCTCCCACCCTTTTTTTTTTTTAAATTTATGACACATCATGTTTTTTTTTCATACTAAAAAATTTTTATCTTCACCTTTAGCGGAGCTTAAGTATATGACATTTATAATGTAACAGGAAAATCATAAGAAAAAAAAGCGCTCGTTAAACTGGTTCTTTTCACCTTTAAGGCTGCTATAAGGTTTTATCAAGTTTACTGTTCATAGTTTTACTTATTCACTGAGATTTACTAAAATGAAAGTGTAATATTTTTTTTTAATTCGCGTCAAAAAGTAATAAAAAAGCAAGAATCACTTTTTTAGACCTCAAGATGTAAAAAAAAAGTATTTGTTAGAAATATTCTCTTGTTCCTTTTTATAATCTATACTTAATTATAGATTCAGCCAAAGAAACAAACACATAGTAAGAGAAAAGTATTAGAGGAGGGGCAAAGAGAGAAAGAGAAATAAATATGAAGTAAAAATTTCGGGTATATTCAAAAAATTCTCTTTGAATGCTTACTAGGAACGTTATAGTGATTTTAAGTTGTCAACGTCAGCTTTACCATGCCAGATACCACTATATGCATTTAGTAAAATTAAAATAGATTTCTAAAAAAAAATAATAGTTGACTCATCATAATAAAAAATCGAAAAATCTGTTTATGTTTTTGAATAAACTTTTAAGATTCCGCAGCAATTTTTGGTTTAGTTTTTTAACTGATAATTGTTTTTTAATCTGAATTTCATTTTAATTTAGTGATTGAATTTAGCATATTTTTTAATTAGATGTTTTAATTAGATGTGATGTGTTAAAGAAAAAAAACTATTCAAAGAAAGTTTCGTTAGCAGTTGACACAATCAATCATTTTGAATGGTTAGTAAATGGTTCTAGGATTAAATACAATATGTGGGTAGCACTTTTACATGCACCTTCTGCTTTTAGCATGAAACTTTAAAAACCTAAAACATCACAGAAAAAAAAAGTTTAGCTTTTTCAACTATTTTGAATTAGTTAATTTGTCTTTAGGTATGTTAATTAAAGAGTTTGTTAATTTTTACATTTTTTTAGTTAAAATGAATTTTTCTGTTTAGGTAATTCAACTAAACCAAATTAGTTAATAATTTTGGAAAAAATCAACTATTTATTTAGTAATTGTAACTACTGAAATATTTGAAAATTTTTAAAATTAAACAAAAATAGAAAACTCCTCATTTTACTAAAACTTTAGTTAAATTTTCCTTTTTAAAAAAAAGTTATACCAAATTTCAACTAAAGTGTTAGTTAAATAACCTAACTGTTATAGTTAATAATTTTGAATCGTTTGTTGGGCCAGAATATTATATTAATTGATGAAATACATAATTGGAATTATTATTTAAATATAAAGAAATAAAGCTTCATGGGTTGTGATTTATTTAAAGAAAAATCGGAAACGAATCAATAAATTTTAAGCTGTTGTAAAATTTCAACTTGAGTTGAAATAATTTAGGTGCAATATCAAAATTAGAAACAATTTTGCATGAAACTTCAAGTAAATATAAAAGTTAAGATGACTTGCACAGTCTACGTAGCAATAGAAATATAGTAAAATTGAAAAAAAAGTTATGTTTTTTTACATTGCAAAATGCTCCCAAAAATTTGTTTTACACTTATCATTGATTTGCTTTAATTTTAAAGTAGTAAAATTAACTAAAACTTTAGGTGATTTTTCCATTCTTAAAAAAATCTAGAAAAGTAGTAAAATTAACTAAAATTTTAGGTGATTTTGACATTTCATAAAAAAAAACTCTTGAAATATTAAATTAACTAAAGCAGTAGTCACTTTTCCCACTACAATACATACTAAGGTTATTTACGTATTTAAATTTGCTTGCTAAGTTCAATGTTATACATACATATGTATGTATGTTATACATACATATGTATGTATGTATTAACTACCATGTATAAAAGACTTAAAAAAGAGCACAGCTCCGAAAAGGCGACGCAATGAAATTTCCATACATATATATGTGTGTGTAAGTATGTAAGGAAGTTCGTTTTCTAGCAATTTCTTATGGATATATATACGTATGTATATATACATGTTTGTGTATACTGCAGACATGTATTTACATGTAAAGATTACTGCACGTGTTAAATAAAAAACTAAAACTTCTTAATCTTTAGTAAAATTGACTAAAGTTTTAGTAAAATTTCTTAAACTTTTAGTAAAATTTATTAACTCACAAAAATAAAAAGAACATAAAATGACTACTGTTGGTGAAATCCCGTTTGTTTTCTATTTTAAAACTATTTATTTTCAAACGTCGATTCGCGTATTGCTATTTTTTTTAATTTTTCAGTTTGTATGTAGTTTCATACGCATGCATTCATAGAAATACATCTTGCCGTTTGCAGATTAACATAACACTTATTGACTTTATATATTTTTGATTAGATGATCATAACATTAAAAATTTTACCTAGCTTGATGTGTAAGAAAAATTAGGGGCCTAAAACTAGTTTGTGGTGAACTGATTTCAAAACTGAAATTTTATTCATTTGTATTAAAGTGCAAAATATAAGTTACTTCTCTGCCTTAAAATAATTCAAACAAACAAAAGTAATAGCTTTTCACTTTTATTACTAAAAAGTATTAAAACTCCTAAGTAGCTTCAATTATTCGCCTAAGAACAAAATTTATCAATTTATAAAAAGGTGCACAATTTCTAGCGAGTTACCAAAACTTTCTTTTATTAAAATAATTATTCTGAAGATTTAGTAAAAATATCTAAGTAATACTAAATTTACAATAAAAGGTTCCTTTTGTTTTCAATATCTTAATTTTACACTTTTGCACATAAAATTTAATCATATCCAAATTCTAGTTCGCACAATGCCGATTCTTATTTGTACATCAAAATGTTCATGTCAATTTGTGGATTTACATAATATATAAAAATTAATAATCTTCGTAAGTATTGTGTAAGCTACATTTACCTCATAGCTAAAACAGAAAGATAGCTTTTTGAATTTTTTAAAATCACTTTTTAAGATTTCCTATTGGAAATGATATGTCTCTTTACTCCTTTAATTTTAAGCTAAAGACTTCAAATTGGACACTTTTTAACACGAAAATAAAATCAAGTACTGGAAAAGTAGTTAATTTTACTAAAGTTTTAGGAAATTTTACAAAAACTTTGGTAAATTTTGCTATTTAATGCAGTAAACTTAACTATTTTACTATCATTTATAGAATTGACGAAAATTCAGCTAAAATCCATAGTAAAAGTGCTAATAAATTCGAGACTGTAAAAATGAGCGAAAATTCGGTTTTTATAATGTCTTTTCGATTCATACTTGAGTCGCATTTAAAATTTGAAGCAGTTAAGCTTCATAAAATACTTTCTTTAGTTTTTAAATATATACTTAAATCATTAAAGACAATTTTGGCAGAAGTTTTGTTTCAAGCTTTTGGATCGAAAAATTGCCGAAATTATTTTATAGCAATTTTTCATTTTGTAAATTATTTTATTTACTTTAGCGTTATTGCAAATTAAGTTACCTAGTTTAATTTAGTAAGTTATAATACAAATTTCTTTGTATAAACAGTTGCAAACTTTCTGGTTCCTTAATAATATCGCCTTTATTCTTTAAAATATTTTCACAAATAATAATTATTTTAATATTTTACATGTATTTGCTTTTTTTCTGTAAAAGTTTTAAATAAATTTTAAGCTTTTTTGGTTAATTTAACTTTAGCAGCTATAATCAAACATTTTACATCTATGGTAATGATCAATAGCAAAATAATAGACGAAATAAGTTTGGCAACAATTTTTATTGACATGTGCTAAACAAATAAAAAAAAACAAAATTTATAACTGTAAAAACATACGACGCGATCAGTCTAAGTAAAATTCTTTTAAAATATTGACGCGCATTTTTAAAGTGTAAGAGTGCTTTTATTTTTCGTTAAATAATTAAATAAATAATTTAAACTGTTTTTAAGTTAAATGTGTAATAAATAAATGTTGATAATTATATAAAAGTAAAAGTTATAAGGTATCTGAATAAAGCGAAATACATAACTTAAACAAAATAAAGTGTGTTTACTGAATGCTTTATGTGCATACATTATATAATTTGCTTTCTTATATAAATATACTCCTTTGTTAAAAATAATATGTAAGTAAAAAGTGGATTTGTAGCCTCAATATAATGTAATCACTGCTTTTTTATATAAATAGTAATTTCAACATCAAGTTGAAGCTTCCGTCAAACATCCATCCATAAGTATCATATATTACACATACATACATATACATAATTTTAAAGAAGAAAATTTTCCTGATACATACACATGTACTTAAAAAACAAATTATTCCGTAAAAATGAGTAAAATATTGGAAGAATGCACTTTGAATGCAATACCCTTTGAAATAGTTCCAGAACTTTGCAAAACAACAGAATCCACGTTATTAAGTTGGGGCTTGGAGGATTTGGCGCTTGATTTTGCAAGTATGTATGTATAGATTTAAAAATACATATTATTATATAATAAAATAAGTATATATCCTGCATTCCCTGCTGTAGTTTTATATAAAAATGTGTACATACACAACTATTTACATAATATCTATTACATATATCAGCATATGTATTTTTAGTACAAATGGAACTTTTAAAATACTATTATTTTTCTAAAACAAGTTTATTAATAATATTTAATATTTAAAACTATAAATTGAAATCATATATGTATGTACATATAAGATATCAGTTAAAAATACTTGCCTTCAAGAAGTTGTTTTGAATTCAATCTAATATCTCGTAATATACAATATAATAATTTTGTATGTAACACCCACATTTTTACACGAGCAACTAACTTAAATTATAATGTTTTTTAAACTTTACCTGAGAAAATATTTACATTTTGAAATGTAAATATTTTCTCAGGTAAAGTTTGCTTACAATATTTAAACTTAACAAAACAGTTTTTTTTAGGAAAAAAAAATCAATATAGAGGTTCTGAAAAATCTGACGACTGAGGATATAAACTTACTTATACCTGCAGAGAAATTTGCTCAAAGAATTATATTTAGGACTCGACTTTTTGAATGGAAAAGCAAAAATGTAATGGAAACTTTTTGTTCTTAATAATTTTATATTTCATAAAAAAATTTTATATTTCAGAAAATCATAGCAACAGCCGATACAGTGAGTGGAATAACTAAAGTTTCAAGTTGGATTAATACTATATCAGCACCTTCGAGTCCTTCTATGGCTGATTCTACTACACTGGTATACATTTTATGGCTTATTAAAATTTATATGTATTAATGCTAAACTTTGTATTGATCATTCTCATTCAGTATTGTACGTAAATTAATTTTTTTTTTCTTAATTACTAATATCGCTATAAATTATTACGATCACTTATAAGATACAATAGTTTTCATATACTTACTTACGAAAACAGTAGAATGGTAGATATACATATTATTCTTTTTTATTTAATTTATTTTATTGAAATTTTTATAACCACAGATTAGCGTAATACGTATATAATTTGATAAAAAATAAAACAAACATAAGGTACATATAATTAACTTTAAACTTAAAAATTTTTATTTGATTTAAACTTTTAATAAACTTTAAGTAATAAGCTTAAAAATAACTGCAAATGTCTATGTATTAGTTTAAATATGTATAAGTCAAGAATTATTACAAGCATAATTAAATTAAATTCGAAAATTAGAAAACGATGTTAAATGTAAAAAATGTGTAATTACTTAATTTAAATAATTAATAAAGATTGCTTTTCTGCCAAAATAGTTTTTTGTTTAATAATTAAATGATTTTATTTAGATATTTTACTATTTCTTTATTAAATAGTTAATTTATCGTTCACATAATTAGGTTAAATAAGATTTGAAAATTAGCTAAAGGATAAGAATATCTGAAACCAACTAGCAAAGCAGGATCTATTATAATAAAAATAATCAGTAAACTTAAATTTATAGAAGACATAAAACTAACTACCAGCGTAGTTAATTTTCACACTTCTGAATGTATTTTTACCGAATCCTTTAGTTGAGATAACTAAATAATCAGACAAAAGACCTTTCAAAATTAACTAAAAAAGTAGTTCATACTACTATAAATAACTAAAATATTAGTAAATTTAACAACAGTGAATACATAAAATTAACTACCATCGTAGTTAATTTTCACATTTCCAAGGGTAATTTTACCAAATCCCTTAGTTGATTTAACTATAGAGACCTTTCAAATTTAACTAAAAAAGTAGTACATATTACTATAAATAACGAAATAATAAGTTAATTTAACTACTTTTAAATAGGGAAATTAACTATTTAAATAGTTACATTTCTAATTTTTTTTGTGATAATTTTACGAATTTTTTAGTTGATTTAACTAAACCATTAGGTAAAAACTTTTTCCAAATTTACTAAAACTTTAGTAAAATTTACTAATTTTTGTTAAAAATTAGTAAACTTCTCTATTCTGAGCAGTGGCAAATTCAACTACTGAATTGGTTAAATTTATGAAAACTTTAGGTAATTAGTGAAAAAGTTAAACAACTAATTCACTTTAGGTAAAATAACTAAACGTGTTTAGTAAGTTGAAAATCAATCATTTTTTTTAGTTAAATGTACTATTTTTTTAGGTAGATTTGCTATTCTTTTTTTTCTGTGATATTTTAAGGTTACTCATGTGTTTGATTTACATAATTTTTCTAAGTAGATTTTCGAACCCTAAAACGTTTGAGATTCTAAAACAAGCTCTACGTCGAATTTGGGTTTAAACTAAAATTTTTAATCAATAAAAAACAATTTAGTTTATTAATTATAATATTTGTAGTAATTAAATAAAATTTGACTACACATTAAATCACTTAAAGTCTTATGAAAATCCCTAAAGATCGAATTCAAAAAAATTATTTTGCATTTGAATTTTTATGTGTTGCACGTTTTTTAAAATAAACGTTTAATATAGAACAGAACTTTTAGGATACAAATTTAGTTTGGGATCGGAACTTGGATCAGGTACAATGTTTCTAATTGTGAGCCGAATAAAAAAATTTTTAACTTTTTAAATTCACAATATTTAATGCAATTATTATGCTATTACTAGATAAATTTTTTTAATCTAGTCGCGGCGCTTTCTATTGTCTATGAGGGTTTATATACTAATATATATTATACATATACAAGTTTCAATGAACGGAATCCAATGGCAAAAAGTTTTTCTAATATTTTTCCAATTATTCTGTTATAATTTCTATAATTTAATTTGATGTTATGGTTTTATACTTTGAGAAAAATTTGAGAGCTATAATATAACTACTAATAATCCTTTTATATACATGAGCGCCGGGGAAAAAATATCGCAATTTTCATATTTTTTTCTTTGAACTCTTAGTACGTATTATATAGAAAACAAGAAATTGTGTTTTTTTATTAGAAAACTAAAATCTTTTTGCTTAATTTTAAAAAAAAATTAGTTTCCTCTACATAATTTATAAACGTCTAAATAGAGTTTGTTCTAATAAAAGATCTTTTTTTCCAATATTTTAATCAAGTGTTAGAGTACTTTGTTTATGAAAGTATTATAACAGTTTTTCTTGCTTTACGCTTCAGGATAAAAAAATAATGATAATTTTTTTTACCACTTTTTGGTTTTTATACCGTTTTTTTTATTTAATGTTTTAAATAAATTGTTATACTGTGATATAGGATTTTTATTGAAAAATATAAATAAAAAAAAGGAGTAGAAAATTTTCATTTTGAAGGAAATAAAGATTATTATATCTTTTGGAAAGAGAACTAAACTTAAAGGATATATGTTTATTAATTATGATTTAAAAAATGGCAGAGATTTGTTTGGATAATTTTGTTTTTAGTTAATTGTTTTTTTTTGTTGTTAAATATTAGTTAATAAAATCGGAAGTTGGAAAACGAAAAGCAAAATTTTTGGTCATATGTATGCATGAAGAGAAAATTATTTAAACAAAATAATGCTGAATTTTGTTTTTAGACATATTTATATGTACATTTTGAATTTTCTATATATAATTAGAAAATTTCAGATATCAACAGAAGAAAATTAGTTTAATTCCGCCTGTACATCAGAGCGTTCGTTTGCATCTTTAACGTTCAAAATAGAAGACTGAAAGTTTGGCAAACGAACTAATCTTAGTGAAAACAGTATTTCACTGTGGAGCAAAAATGTTTGCAAATCCTTTAATGTCTTTTAAAAGTAATAAAATTTACAGTTATTTGTAAGTTATTGTATCCTAAACCAAATTCAAATCTTAAATTTTAAAAGATTTTAACCAATTGTATAATATTTGAGTATGCAATTAAAATTAAGAGTGCTTTAAAACACACTTTTCCCTAATTTTTGGATTATAATATTTCTTCCATATGAAAGATCGGATTAGGTACTACGAGATTTTTACAATATTATGTAGATATCGAAAAATATTTCAATCAGAACTAAATTCCTTTATACCCCACGCCCGAGTTGTTTCTGAAATTTGCAAAATGTAAATTTTCTATTTCCCATTTTTTCAATATTGTAAAAATCTATAAACTTTGAAAATTCGCATAATCCGATTTTTCTAAATGTTTTAGCTTTTTTCCAAAAATAATTTGAAAAAAAGTGTCTCTCAGACGGACGGACAGAAATTTTGTAAACAGATGCACGAACGGACCGAGTCTGTTCAGGCTGTACGAGTCTGAAATTTTTGCAGCTTTTAGAAACTAGTAAATAGTTAATTTCGTTTGAAGAAAATTGTTTTCCACCATCACCCACTCTCAGGTTATTGTCTCTCGAAATTTGTAAAATTTGAATTTTTGGCATTTTATACTTTCGAAACTGCAAGCTTCCCCGAAATTCTAGAAATGCAGAAAGTTAACGGTAAATGTCATGCCATTAACAAATTTCATTTACAATTTCTTCAATTGAATTGTTTTGAAATCTTCTTTCATATGAAACTTAGTTTTACGTTTACGTTATTTTACACATTTTTAATTGTTTTCGTTGCAGAAAAAAAATAAAATTTGTGTTTATCCGATATGCTTCATTGTTCCAAAAGCAAGATGCCATGACATGCAAATTTTTTTTTTTTTATTTTTGGAAAAAAATCTTTAAACATCATATTTCAAGTTGTAAATTGTGACAGGAAATAATAGTAAATCTTTTTGTAAATTGTCTTAATTAGGATTTGTTAAATTTAAAAATAATAAGAATAATAGGAACAGCTGAGCAAACATTTTTTTGCAACACAAGAAAAAAAAAAGAAAATAAAATCAGACAACAATATGACAATGACGACAAATGAAATTTTCGTTATAATTACATTGCATAAAAATATTTTTTTTTTTTATTTAATTTAATTCACTAAGTTTTATAACAAGATTCAGCAACTTTTTCAGAAATTGAAAATTAAAATCTTCATATGCTTCCTTTCAATCCTCTTTAAAGAACTTGGTCTATTTTCCGTTTTGTGATAAAGAAAAAAAATTTTGTTTTTTTTTTTTTTTTTTGTAAGAATAATTTATGATAATTTAAATAACCTACTTATATAAAAGTTTGTGCAGAAGTTTGTGTATTGTATGTACACACAAAATGCATAAGATGCTCAAAAACTAATGATAGAATAAATACATACACACATATTTGCATATATAGCCACAACAATATTATTTATCTTCTGCATAATAAGTTTTATAAATTATAAGGAGTAAGCAAAAAATTTATAAAGTTTGACTAGCATAAATACTAAATACATATATACATATGTACATTATATATTATAATATATAGTTGTGCAATGTAAAGAGAATGACAAACTGTTTATTTATGATTTTAATCTTAAAAAAAATTTTCCAACCACACCAAAATCATAACTATCATAGATAACTTTTTTTTTTTTTTTTAATTTAATAGGAAAAATTAAAGTCTGTAATAAATTATTCATTTTCGAGATGTAGAAAATATTAATGACTAAGATTTTTTTTTTTCTTTTTTTCAATTTTTTTTTGAGTAGAACAAATTTATAGTTATCAAAATTTATTTCCGAATTATTGAAAATATAATTTTATTTCAAATAATTTTCATATAGAGAATAATTTTGTTATGATCAATGCATATATACACATATACAGATTGTTAAGTAAATGTATTTGGTGAACATTTCAATAATGTTTATTTAATACTAACCTAACATATTCAGTAATTAAAATTTCGTAGCTCAGTCGACAAATAGGCTTAATGAATATTTTAATG